AGACTCGTCACCCCTACTCTACGTGAGACGCACCGCTCGGACTCACCATGGTGAGTGCGACCCCACCGGGTTCGCGCCCGACCCCTAACTGTTCCTCCCCTTGCGGGGACCCTCCACCCAGCATCCAGGTTCTCTAGGCAAGGCAAAGGTTTTGCACCCGCAAGCCCCTTCTAGTGACTTTGGCCTGGTGTGTTGTCCACCTTTGGGAGCTACGGACGGGGCAGTGGGAGGGTTCTTCATTTGCAGAGAGGAGCCCTCCTGCTAATCCCCTCTGCCCTCCTAAGCGTTTGTGCCCAGCCCTCTTGGCGGGGGGGGAGAGTCACGCGGTCTGGCGCCCAGTGCCTTCCGCGGGCAGCGGAAGACCCGCTTGGATGCCCCCATCCCTTCCCCCTAGGAGTCCCTGGAACTGACCGAACACGTGCGTGCGTGGCGCCAGAAGGTGGAAGGGGGTCAGGTTACTTAGAGCCACATTCCCCTTTCCTGAGTGTGTTCGTTCTCCCACCCACAGCACCCCCAGTGACTCAGCACCCCGCTTCTGAGCCGAGAGGGGAGGCGGGAATGGGGTTCCGTCTCGTGAGGCGAGCTGTGGCCCCACTCCTGCGGGAGTGCAGATGCGCAGAGGACAGGCAGAGACAGCTGGCCCTGAGCGACAGCGCGGGCCGAGACCAGGTTGGGGGGAGGGGAAGAGGTGTGTGTAAGGGGGTGGTATTTATAGCCCAAGAACAGGGACCGAAACCCAATCCCCTCTTTCGGCTGGGATGTAACTGGAAAGGCTCCAGAGGAGAGCGGATGTAGGGCCCGGGTGCAGGATGGCGCCTGTCTTGGCCGGGGCAAGGCGGGTTACCTCTGGGGCCTAACCGCAGGTTCTGCTTCCTTTTCTGGATTTGGAAACCCATCACCGTGCCCCTTCATTGTAGGAAGGCAAGGCGCCGCCCTGCGGACTTTGGTGCTGCAGGGGTTAATTTAGGACTGGTGGGGGCAGAGCCTAAGGCAGGGAGCAAGCTCCTAGTGCCCACAACTTCTCACTGCCAGCATTATCCCTACTTCTGTGGGGTCTGGCGGGGTGGATGAAGGTGGCGAAGACAGAATGAATGCGGGGGTGGAGAGGGGGAGCCAGATGGGTTTGATCCCCAGTGCCAGATGGGATTTAAAGGTGGGGAGAGAGGGCATCCTGATGACCGGTGTGGTCAGCTGATGCCAGATGGGAAGGCTGAGACACCTCTGCACTCAGAGAAATGAAGGGGAGAGGGTTATAGCAAATCGTAGTTGTTCTTCATCGAAGAATCAAGTGGGGAGGCCTGTGGGCTGTAAACTGGAAAACCTGCCTCTTAGGCTCTGGAGAAGCTGGGTGTGTGGGCTGCAGGATTAGGAGCAGCTGGAAAGTCTCTTCTCTCCTGAATTACTGCAGTGTCTGCCTGTCTCATACCCACGTGCCCTCTCTCCTCCCCAAGTGTCCTGGGAATGTGGCAGGGTCATTCACAGCCACAGCTCTCATTGGACAAATTCCCCACGGAGAAATAGGCTAAGGGATTGGCCTGCCCTACTGGGTGCTTCTTCCTGTGCAAGGGATCCTGGGAAGGCTGCCAGCCTCCTCTGACCCTGCCAGTTTGAAGCCTTCCCTCTTACTGAGTCATCCTAGCTGGTAGGTGATAAAGTTGGAGAGAGGCTCATGAGATAGGTAGGAACTTGTAAATGTGGCACTGATGCTGTGACCCTTCTCTATCCCTCAGCGTGAATGCATCTCAGTCCATGTGGGACAGGCAGGTGTCCAGATGGGCAATGCCTGCTGGGAGCTCTACTGCCTGGAACATGGGATCCAACCTGATGGGCAGATGCCCAGTGACAAGACCATTGGTGGAGGGGATGACTCCTTCACCACCTTCTTTTGTGAAACTGGTGCTGGAAAACATGTGCCCCGAGCAGTTTTTGTGGATCTGGAACCCACTGTGATTGGTGAGTGTAAGGGGCAAATTTGAAGGACGGAAGAGAGGGTACCTAGACTTGGCTTCATGTCCCCGAAAAACTCCTAACCCTATCTGAAGATAAAGAAGGCAAGCTGATCTCAGGCTGGCATGGGCCAGAGCAGATCTGAGTTTCTCCCACACTGGTATCTCAGGCTGGCAGAAGGACGAGCTAGCTCTTCCGTGTATCTGGCAGCAGATATCACTCTGGGGGGAGGAAGGTCCTTGCTGAGAACAGCCTTGTGGTTTTTACCCAACAGTATGGTTTATGTTCTTCCAGATGAGATCCGAAATGGCCCATATCGACAGCTTTTCCACCCAGAGCAGCTCATCACTGGGAAAGAAGATGCCGCTAACAACTATGCCCGTGGCCACTACACAATTGGCAAGGAGATCATCGATCCTGTGCTGGACCGGATCCGCAAACTGGTGAGAATTTGGCATGGAAGGGAAGGAGCATTTGAGACTAAACAAATGGTCAGGGAAAAGCTTTCCTCAGATCCATTTCAGGAGGTCATCTCTAGCTGTATGTTCCAGAATATGATTCCACTGTGGTTTACTCATTAGGCTTAACCCTAGCTTTCAAGATAAGTGAGGGCTTATGGAGCTAGAAAAGTTCCTCAGCATCCCCCACCATGACTCCATCTCTTTCTTTCAGTCTGACCAGTGCACAGGACTTCAGGGCTTCCTGGTATTCCACAGCTTTGGAGGGGGCACGGGCTCCGGCTTCACCTCCCTCCTGATGGAGCGGCTCTCTGTTGATTATGGCAAGAAGTCCAAGCTGGAGTTCTCCATCTACCCAGCCCCCCAGGTGTCCACCGCAGTGGTCGAGCCCTACAACTCCATCCTTACCACCCACACCACGCTGGAGCACTCGGACTGTGCCTTCATGGTGGACAACGAAGCCATCTATGACATCTGCCGCCGCAACCTGGACATCGAGCGCCCCACCTACACCAACCTCAACCGCCTCATCAGCCAGATCGTGTCCTCCATCACTGCCTCCCTTCGCTTTGACGGGGCCCTCAACGTGGACCTGACAGAGTTCCAGACCAACCTGGTGCCCTACCCTCGCATCCACTTCCCCCTGGCCACCTACGCGCCGGTCATCTCTGCAGAGAAGGCCTACCACGAGCAGCTGTCGGTGGCGGAGATCACCAATGCCTGCTTCGAGCCTGCCAACCAGATGGTGAAGTGTGACCCCCGTCATGGCAAGTACATGGCCTGCTGCCTGCTGTACCGCGGAGATGTGGTACCCAAGGATGTCAACGCCGCCATTGCTGCCATCAAGACGAAGCGCAGCATCCAGTTTGTGGACTGGTGCCCCACAGGCTTCAAGGTTGGTATCAACTACCAGCCACCCACGGTGGTGCCCGGGGGCGACCTGGCCAAGGTGCAGCGTGCTGTGTGCATGCTGAGCAACACGACCGCCATTGCTGAGGCCTGGGCCCGCCTGGACCACAAGTTTGACCTGATGTATGCGAAGAGGGCTTTTGTACACTGGTATGTGGGAGAGGGCATGGAGGAGGGTGAGTTCTCAGAGGCCCGGGAGGATATGGCTGCTCTGGAGAAGGATTATGAAGAAGTAGGCATCGACTCCTATGAGGATGAGGATGAGGGAGAAGAATAGAACAGCTGCCTGGAGCCTGTTCACTATGTCTATTGCAAAATCCTTTTGAAATAAACAGTCTCCTTGCACGGTTTCTTGTTCCTCTGTGAGTGCTTGAGCTTCTGCTGCCTTCCCCTTTCTGCTGCTGCTGCTGCTCTCACTAGATGCTGCTCATGACCCTCTTCCATTCCACGGCTGTAGGTGAGATTTGCAAGGGGCTCTCAGCAGGCCCAGGAAGCATGACCACAGGGACATTGATATCAGGTTCTTAGAGACCCAGGATAGGGAGGTAATAAGGACCAGATCCTGGACCTTAAAGGATACAAGTCTTCACTTCTTTTCAACTAGGAGTTCATTAGTTTCTGTATTGGAGATTTGGACGGCTACACTATTTTCCCTGCTGCCTCTACATTCACTAACTCTGGAACAAGCCTTGGCCCAGGCTCTGCTGTGCACTGAGGGCTTGGGAATGGGGCTGGGCTGGCCCGAAGTTCCTGGGCACAGAGCCCTGTCATAAGCTTGGGGGATGGGAAAGGGCAGTCTTCTAGAGTTGTTTGTGCCATTGCACCTCTCAGCTTTGCATAGCTTGTCTGTCTTGCTGCTTTGCTGAGGCTGGGGCTGTGCCATTAAAAGTCAGGTCGTCTCCCCTCTGTTTGTGCTTTCTTTTTGCCTCAGCCTCCTTGCTAGCTGGTGGGACTGCCTCCCAGGGCCCTGGGGAAAAATTCAACTTTGCTAATAGGCACCCTGGGACCCACACTGACATCAGCCTGTTTGGGCATGGTTGGGAGGAGGAAGCTGCACTCTCAGGAGCGGGAGATGCCAGACCTGCCCTTGCTATCCCTCCCTGGTGACTCAGGGACATAATGCCCTTCCCCAGGGAACATTCAAGCCCAGTAAAGCACGGCTCCTGTTTACTCAGCAGAACAGCCGGAAGTAGCTGTGGGTTACTGCCACACCACACTAGCCTCGTTAATTATTAATCATGTGTGAGCTAGAATAATCAGAGACATTGCCAAAATGGCTGCCAGCTCCACCTCCTCCCCCCAGGCTGAGGATGGGAGACCTGTAATGTAGCTGTCCCAAAGCTTCCTCAGGTGTCTCCACCCAGAGGCCCTTGGCCTGGCAAACCGGCTGAGCTGCTTTGGCTAAGCTACCCACCCCTTGGAGTGAAAGAAGGAAAGAACTTTTAGGGGGCCTGCTCCCCATTCTTGGCACAACCTGAAGCCAGCTCCAGCCAGAGCAGCTTTACGTTTTTGACTAAGACAAGCTGTAACTGACAGCTGCTAACCAGACAGATCAAAGGACACCTGCCTCACATGGACTGGTACCAACCACACCCGTTTCTTTTCCCAGGCTGTTCCCCTGGAAATGGCAACCAGACTTTGCCCCTTGCACCTCTTCTCTCCCCTCAGAGACACTGAGACTAAGATCCACAGTAACCTGCTTTCACTTTATTCTCCTGCTCCCAGATTTGGAAGCTGAACATATGAACTCAGCAGACCAGCTCAGAGCCATGTATTTTCTCAGTTTCGCCCTGGCCCAGCCCTGGTCAGGTCCCTTGCCTGAGCACTGGGGGTAAGAGCAGAAGAGGAACAGGACAGAGATAATGGTCCCCACCCTCTGTCCCCAACTGTAACAGCAGTCCTGACAGAATGAGTAGAGATCCAGTAAGAGATGAGAGGCTCTTTCCAAGGAACAAGGGGCGATCCTCTCAAGGTGGCCACTGGTTTCTTCAGATCTGGGTAGTATGCTGACCAGGAGCTGGGGGTTGCTGAGCCTCTAACTGATTGAGAAGGAGAGGAATGTGAGGGCGCTGCTGGGGGTCCACAGTCATCATGGAAGCCAGCAGCTGCCGCATAGCTGAAGAATGCCTATGGAGGAAGGGGGGCAAGGTGAGTGGAGGGCACCTGTGCTTGCTAAGGTTCCAACTCAGAAGAGTGAACTACTTGGTGCTGCTTTTTTTGGTCCTTTTTTACTTGGTGTGTCTCTTATTTTGCTTACCTGGAACTTTGTGGGATGACAAGTTGGTTCTGCACAGCAAGAGCCACACTGTCACCCTTCTGGAACACCATGTCATAAGGACCTTCCCCAAACATCATGGCGTAAAGCACACAGCCTAGGGACTGAGCAGAACTTAGTTAGCTCCTAGAAGGGGACCAATAGAGGTGACATCTCTCCCTTTATATCTGTGGTGAAAAGAGACATTAGCAAAGATATGCCAGTCTCAGCCATATGGCACCACCAGGGCCCAGAAAAACTGCCAGTTAGCTTTCTCACCAACACTGAGCTGTACCCACCCAGTTCAGAGGCAGGGACCACACTACTTCCTGAGCAGCTGAGTACAGTATCAGTGACAGTTCCCAGGAAGGAAGTCGAGGGGTATGGGGACATGTTGTGGTTTCTGGGGCCCCATGCAACAGAAACCAAAGGCCTACTCCCCTCTACACACTAGGCGTAGAGTTGTACTGCTCCACACCCAGGTTCCCACCCCCACACTCCTCACCCAGACATCGGTACGCTCATCGATGACACAATGGCTCTGCACAGAGAAGAGCTCTGGGGCACGGTAGGAGATGGTGCACCGCTGGGCTGCCCAGTCCTGGAACAGTGGCCCCAGAATGCAAAAGTGAGACACAAGCCACAGTCATGTGTGACCAAATTATGGAATGTAACTGGAATAAGGGATGGGAACAGATGAGCAAAGGAACATGGAGACTTTCTTACCTGCAGGGTCAGGGCCTGTCGGGAACCCTCTATATGGATACGTGCTTGATTCATGGAGCCTAAATCCATTAAGACTGGCTGCCCCTCATCTCCAAGCAAGATATTGGTGGGCTTCAGATCCCTAGAGGGAAGTGAAAATGACACAAACATCCCAGGACAGGGAGGCTAAATCCCAGGGAGTGAAAGAATCATGGGAACTTTCCTTGAGAGGAAGGCAGAGATAGACCTCCCAATTCTCTGGATGAGGCTCTTCCTTTTGGCCCCAGCAAGTATGCAGGGTCCTCCCACTGACCTGTGGGCATAACCTTTGGCATGAATGGCTTCAAGGCCTCTGCAGATACCCAGCAGCAGCCAAAGGATTTGATCCTCAGTCAGGAAGTTGCCTTTGTCCTTCAGCCTTTCTATCTCATTCCACAGCGTGCCTCTCTGCAATACAAGTTTCCCCACAATGAGGTATTTCTGAATCCTCTGCTCGCTAGGCCTGACACCTCCCTTGTGTCAAACCCCATCAACTCTTTCAGCACATATACCTCAAGCCCCAGTCCCACTTGGAATCCTCTAAACCCCAAACCAAAATGGCCAGACCCAGGACATTGCACCTGCTTTCTAACATGCTTGACTGTTCACACAACCTTGGTAGGAAGCTCTGTTGCAACCCCCTTCATAACCAGGAGACTTTCTGACCTTGTAGAAGGGTAGAAGCAGCCAGGCCTCATGCTTTGTTCCCCGCTCTTTCAGACAGTAAGCCACAAGGTGAAGGATGTTGGGGTGATGAAAGAGGCGATGCATTTCTGCTTCTCTCTGGGCCTCCTCCTGGTCTTGCTGCTCGTGGCACAGGATTCGCTTCAGGGCGTAGAAGTGTCCATCATGTAACCCCTCCACTAGGTCCACATAGCTGAACCCACTGTGGGCCAAAGGGGTTAGTAAGGACCATGACTGTCTCCTACATGGCTTGGACCCAGAGAAATTCCCAAAGGGAGAGTGCTTCTTGAATTGAGCAAAAACCCTCCCAAGATACAGCTCCAAGAAAGTCTGAAGATTAGTTTGAGCTCCTCAAGGGCAGGGACACAAAAATCACTGAGATCCTATGGTCTTAATGCTCTGCACAACAGATGCTCAATAAATATTAAATAAATGATGGCTAACATTTATCAAGTGTTTATGAACCAGTCACTGAGTGAGACATTTTATATATATTATCTCATTTAATCTTCACAACTCCATCAGTGAGACATGATAATCATCTCCATTAAGCAGATGGTTTACCAAGGTAGCACAAGGTGGCTCTAGGAGGCCTGGGTCCAGAATCCACTTTCTTGACCCACTCAGCTAAGGTTCTGTCGGATGAGGTAGAGAACAGGGACAAAACCCTAGTGCTCCTATCATGCACAGACCATTGTTCCTCAATACCATAACCCTGGGGGCTAGCTAAATGATTTCCACTCACCCCTCCCCAAGTTTCTGGATGAACAGGTAACGCTTATTGTCAATAATGACAGTTCCTCGAGAGCAGACACACAGCGCATGGCCCATAATGTCTCATGCATCCTCCTCAAGGAAAATCTTTGGCTGCTGAGGAGTTCGTCCAGGGTGAGTGGGCTGTTCCAGGAGATGCGCTGGGGACCCAGTGGATCATGCTGGGAAGAAAGCAAGGGCAAGTCACAGATCCAGCTCAATCCAGATGGCCCCTGAAGTATCAATAGGGAGAGCTCAGGCTCAGGTCTGAGAAACTAGAGTCCCGACTAAAGAAAACAGGCCTTGGCGACGCCTGCTCCTAGAAGCCTGGAATCAGATTCCTCAAAGCTTCAGGCCATACTGCCAGGCTGCTTCCTTCCACCCCTGGCCCACCTTGGGGTGGGCCCCGCTCCACCCCCTCAGACCTCAAAGGCAAGGCACAAGGTAGCTCCAGAGCAGGCGGGAGGTTCGAGCCCACCTCTGGCAGAGAACACCGTACGCCTCGAGGCGTTCAGCAAAAGATCTGCCCGCCGTGACGGCCCACTGACCTAGCTCCAGCCGAAGCGACGCTCCAGGGACCGGAAGCTACGTTTACCTCATCATTCCGCGCCGCAGTAACGGCCCACCGTATCCTAGCAACTGCTGAGCTGCTGGAGGATGTGGGCTCGCAGAGTGAGGAAGCCCCGGGGCTGGCTAGACCTGAGGGTGGACGGTTCCCAGTACCCAGGTGAGGGTTCACCACTTGGCCTTCAGTACGGGTCAAGACTCAGGCAAGGGGGAGCACAGCAGGGCTCATTCTAAAACCCCCAGGACCTCCATCTCCCAATGTCAGAGGTAGGAGGCTTCATACCTTCTGCCTATTACAGTGCAGCCCAAAAGAACTCTCGGGAGGATGGGGCAGGCGGCCTGGACTTCGGGAGTACCACCTGTACCCTCTTCAGGGCCCTGGCATCAGTGGTTAAGAGGTTAGATTCTTGTTGGGCATGGTGGCACAAGCCAGTAATCCCAGCACTCAGGAGGCTGAGGCGGGAGGATCGCTGTGAGTTCGAGACCAGTCTGGGCTACATAATGAGTTCCAGGTCAGTCTCAACAAAATAGTGAGACCCTGTCTCAAAAAA